CTGGTTCTTCTGCAGTCTTCTTTGTCATCTGTCCAGCTTTCACGTGCACTTGAGGCAATGGAAAACATCGTGGTTGGGTCAGGAGCACTTTGGTCGTCAAAGTAACATCCTTGTTCTTCCATACTCTAAAGAGGTCTTGTGCAGCTGATTTACCTAATGCAACACACCTGAAAGCTTATGAATACCTTTGAAATATTGTCAGATTCTGAAGACCTATTTTCTTAACTTGACTCTAAAGCAGGGATTTCTACCCGTCTCCCTTGCTAAATCCTGAATTCCTTGCTAGAAAATTGGGCCTTATTCTTTCCATTTTCCTGATTCCTAATACAGAATTAAAGGTAAGTGAGCACTCTGAACTGATAAGGGATGTCATGAAAAAATATATAATTTCCTGAGCTGAACAGGGCCTATACTTGGTAACTTCCAACTTTTATTTTTCCTTTCTATGCTTCTAGTAATTCTGAAACCTCTCCCTTCTCATTTGTATAGACTGTCAAATCTTCAGTATATGTTACAAAATTGATTTGGTTTCTGTAAGCACAGTAATTATGATATACACATTTAATATCAAGCAAGGATGCCATATAATTGACACATAAATCCTAGGAGTATTCTGTATCAGATGAAGTCTTATAATATGTACACATGTGTCTGTAAATGAGGGGAATGTTGTGATTGAGGATTTGGGGGAAACAGTAACTATGTGAAATGACAGTTGCAGCCATACATCCTGGAGAGACAGGTGTTTCACATGAAGAAGAACCTATATTCAAGGTCAGAAAAGAATGCATCTCTAATTGTCCAAATATATGAGAATTTTTACTCAAAGAGATATTTTTCTAATATCAAAATCTCTAGTGGCCTAGAGAAGGCAAAGTCGCCAGGACTGTCTATCAGAGCATAACAAGGAAGGCTGGAAAATTGAGAAAAGTCTGTTACACTTCCCTGTGGGCCATTTCCTGCCCTTCTACACCCGTTTTGAATGTTCATCACACCCAGAAGGCCCTGAGGCTACACTGCAAACATCCGTGGGAGACCAGCTTCCTGTTGTGTGAAATATAAAGTGGGTAGTGCCTTAAGAGTAAAAAGGACATCAAGGAGGAAGCTATAAATTCTAAGATCACCAAAAATAATCAGTTAACTGGAAGAGATGGGGCAGCAGAGATGATAGCTGATGAAGACTACTAGGAAGTTTTGACATTTTCCTGGGCGAGATGTCTTTGAGTTGTAGAAGGAAAATGCTAAGGTAATTAGTATTAGCACTCCCTCCCGATACTTATTTTTTCAGTGGCTTTAAGGAAGCATAAATTGTCACTACTGTTAGTGATTTAGAAAACATTTATTGAAACCTTCATTTTGGAAAAGGGGCAGTTGAGATTATGGGAGCAGAAATTTTAAAATGTGCACTGCCAGTCAATGACAAAGCAAGTTCACAATTCAAAATTTATAACTTCAGAAAAGACTCTCTTATACAAGACTTCTAGATCAAGACTGAGGAAGGAGTGGGGAGCTCTTACACATTGGTCTTGCCTTTGAGACTTCCTGGTTCTTGTCTACTTCCGTGATTATTCGACAGTGTGTCTACCAATAAATTATCATTCGATTCTATCGACCTCAGCTTTCAAAAATTGATTTCTTAGTTTCTGCATTTCTTCTTATTATAGGCCTTAAAAGAACAATATACTGACTTCAAAGTGTTTTCCTAAAAGAGGTCTTAAGAGTCACTTTTTAGAAAAAATATAGGGAATCCAGGACAAATGAACCCCACAAGACCAGTAGAGAGAGTGGTGATACAGGGAGGGTAGAGGGAAGGTTAAGGAGAAAGGGGGAACAGATTACAAGGATCTACATGTGACCTCCTCCCTGGGGGACAGAAAACAGAAAAGTGGGTGAAGGGAGACGTCGGACAGGGCAAGATATGACAAAATAATAATTAATACATTATCAAAGGTTCGTGGGGGAGGGGGGAGCAGAGAGGGAGGGGAAAAACTGAGGTGCTGATACCAAGGGTTCAAGTAGAAAGCAAATGTTTTGAGAATGATGAGGGAAATAAATGTACAAAATGTTTGACACAGTGATGTATATATGGATTGTGATAAGAGTTATGAGCCCCCAATACAATTATATATCTGTGTTTGAGCCCTGATACCTGACTGTGGGGTTGGAGGTGTTTAAAGCTTGGCCCCTAGCAGCTGAGGCTGTGATAGGAGAGAGAGAAGAGAGAGAAACAAAAGTAAAAATATAGCTGAGCCCCTGTCCCTGGTGGTGCGGCTGGAGGGGTGTAAACCTTGCCCCGAGGCGGCAGCAAGCTGTGACTGTGTTCAGATAAAGCCCCTGCGCACGCTCCAAATTATCCTGGCTCTGGCTGAGACAGTGGCAGGACTACGGTCAAACCCTAGCCAGCCTCCACTGTAGTACGCCAAAAGATCCAGCTCCTCAAAACCTAGTGGATCTGTGCCTACTTCTCTTTATGATGCTCCCCCTGCAACCAGAAGTGTGCAATCTCCCTCTTAGTGACTTTTCTGTGCTGATTTCTGAGAAGTCCCTCTAGTATGTGTTACTCAGTTGCCATCTTCCCGAAGTCCATGTACATGTTTGTAATTGTGGCAATGATGTACACAGCAAAACATTCTCCAATTCAACTTCAGCATGTATAATTCAGTGCCATTGATTATATTCATCATGCTATACAACAATTATTGACATCCATTTCCAAATTATTCTACCCCACTAACCAAAAGGATGTACCTTAAGAAAAACCTCTTCCTCTTTCACTCCTCATAACTATTGGTCAAGTTTGGTTTCTTTTATTTTTCAATATTTTTCTTCATAGAATATGGACATATCATACACTTCCATAGTCAAGTTGCTTTTTAAAAGAGTTGTATATACACCATCACAATCCGTTGTAGTGCTCCCTTCCCCCTCCTGAATTCATTGTTTCTTCCCTAATTCCCCTCACGCCCCTACCCTGGTCCCTGATAAACCATTTCAGCAGTTATTGTCTCTATGTAGCCACTACTTCTGTGCTTCATAAACTGGGAAACCTAACAGAACAGGAAAAAATAAAAATGAAACAGAAAGAAGAAAATAATAATCATGTAAAGATAAAAATAAAGAGTAAGAAAGAAAATGGATTGTGATAAGAGTTGTATGAGCTCCCAATAAAATGAAGAAAAAAAACAAAAGAAAGAAAGAAAGACAAGACCGCCAACAGCATTAAGAAAGCCAGAGACGAGATTTCTATCATGGAACAAGCAAGAAACATTTGAGCCTATGGCAAGTTCAGGTGGGGTCCAGAGGTTAACTGACAAAGTATCATGATTTGATCCACCATAATCAAGTTTACAATCATGTCTGTCATTTAATAGCTTTCCTGTGTGTGTGCTTACAGTGCTTTATGCACTATCCAGTAAATTTAAACATTCTTTCATGTGCCACCATATTTATACGTTATCCTATTTTTGCTTTTTTTTTTTTTACTTAGAGTTTTCCAATTGCATTGCAGAAAATACCTTGTCATTTTACACTACGGCTGCCTCATATTCCTGTTTTCAATTCAAATGAAGCAAAGAAAGAAATATCACAACTGGTTGTCATGGAGTCCATTCTGAATCCAAGTGCACCCATGTACTTCAGGGTGGAACTGGAGGATAGCATTTTCAATGGCTGCAGTCTTTCAGACATGGATCACAGGCCTTTCTTCTGAGGTATCTCTGGGTGAACTAGCACTTTCCAGTTAGTAGTCAAGCAGTTTTAACCATTTGATCACCCAGGGATGCTTTGTTTATCTCACCAATCCCATATTGAGAAGGGATCTTGGGTTGCTTCCATTTTGAGATATTAAAAACAGAATACAGTAAGTAACTTTCTTTTAGACATCATTTCATATATGTGCATATAAACCCCCAGAAGGGAGATGCATGGGTCATAGTGCACATGAACATAACTTTCAGTAAATACTGCTAAATTGTCTTCAAAAGGAATTATACCATCTAGTGCTCCCATCGGCACTAGGTATGTGTGTCTCCACCTTAATTGCACATTCCCAAACTTTTGAAGCTGTGTAGATCTGAAAGTTGAAAAGTTGAGAAGCAGTACCATTGTAGTTTTAAGTAGCAGACTTGCATTATTATTAGCAGGAGTGGAAATTTTGTGTTTGTTTAAAACTTGTATCACTTAACTTAATTGATGCTTTATGCAGTTGACCTCCCAAACTCTATGTAAACATCATAAGATAAAAGACTATGTTTTATGCATGAAATTATCCTTAGTTTTCAACATAAGAGACCTTTATGGTTTGGGCCATAAACAGTTTTTAATAAATATGTTAAATTAATTAACGTATAAATGAGCTTTCTTTATTTATAATAAAGTAATATCTGTGCCTCACTTATTTTAGATATATGTGACATGGTTTCTTCATAACCATTGAATCTTTGAACTATATATATATTATATATATATAATAAGTAAATTTTACTTTATATTATTAGAACCCTTCTTTGGATATTGATCTTGTATTTTTTAAAATTATTTTATTGGGGGGCTCTTACAGCTCTTATCACAATCCATATATACATACATTGTGTCAAGCTTATTTGTACATAGGTTGCAATCATCATTTTCAAAACATTTTCTTTCTAATTGACCCCTTGGTATCAACTCCTCATTTTTCCCCCTCCCTCCCCCACCCTCCTACCTTCCTGAACCTTTGATAATTTATAAATTATAAATGTGCTGAAGAAAGCTGATGGTGCCCAGCTATGAAAAGATACTTGCCTGGAAGGGGGGACACCAGGATCAGGCAGGTGGTTTTCCGAGGGCGAGGCTCACTCATTGCACTGCGGGTGTGCTGACACCTGTGATGTCCCCAAATGCGGGAAAAGCAACTGCATAATTTGTGGTAGTGGGGGACTGCGTTCACTCCCCTGAAAAAAAGAAGAAAAAGAAAAAGAGAAGAGGAAGATATAGCATCTGAAGTCTTAAAGGCTTGAAAATAAATAAGCATCCATCTAGCTGAGAAGCAACAAAGCCCACATGGAAGAAGCACAACGGCCTGTGTGATCATGTGGTGTTGATGGAAACAGGTAGCAGGTAGCAAACAACCAGAACAAAGAAATCATATGGATGTGAATGAGGGAGTGGAGACCCAAAGGCCATCGGTAGACAATTGGACATCCCCTCACAGAACTGTCACAAGGAAAAGAAGAGCCAGTCAAGTGCAGTGTAGCAAGATGACACCTACAACTTTCTGCTAGTTCTTTAATGCTTCCTCCCCCCATGCCCACTATCATGACCCCAATTCTACCTTACAAATCTGGCTAAACCAGAGCATGTGCACTGGTACAGATAAATGCTCAAAACACAGGGAATCCAGGATAGAGAACCCCTTCAGGACCACTAAAGAGAGTAACAATACCAGGAGGGTTGGGGGAAGGTGGAGGATGAGAGGGGGAACTGATCACAATGATCAACATATGACCCCCACCATCACCAAAGGAACATTAACAACAGAAAAGAGGATGAAGGGAGACTGCGGTCAGTGTAAGACAGGAATCACATATTTTTTAAGCAATGTGTTACAAATAAACACAACCACAAAATATTTAAATAAATAACCCTTTAAAATAACTTAAAATCTCATCATTTAAATCAGTTATTCATCCATTCTTTGAATTTTTTGATAGCCATACTCTTTTTAAAAAATATTAGCACTAAGATTGTGAAATTTTAAACTTGGGTTTTCTCTTATTCCCTTAAATGTCTAAGTTTTATGTAAGTTTTAAAATACAGATATTCATAGACACTTTCATTGTTCCTAAACCATGGATTAGTTGTTGTAGTGGCATTATCCACATATGACAGGAGTCTTTTTGAATTGGAACCAATTTGATGGCACCCAACAACATCAGGTAGTATCATATTCTTCTAAGAGACCAAACATGATATTCATAATCTACTGGCAAGACCAATTTATCAGCTATGCCATCAGTTTTTAAAGATAAAGTCTCTCAGATCCTGACTTATAAAGAAGAATGTATATTTAACAATGCAATGTGGCTATTGTTGTCGTGGTGCCAGTGAATTGGGTCTGACTCATAGTGACACTACAGACAGTAGGATGAAACACTGCTTGGTCCTGCACCGTTTTCACAATTGATCATATGTCTGAGCCCATCAATGCAGCCCCATGTAAGTCCATCTTGTCAGGGGCCTTCCTCTTTCTTGATGCCCTCTACTTTACCAAGCATCTCATCTTTTCCCAAAGACTGCTCTCTCTGGAGAACATGTCCAAAGTCTGAGGGTCTAATTCTCAGCATCCTTGCCTCTGAGGAGCATTCCCCTTGTACTTGCAAGACAGATTTGTTGGTTCTTTTGGCAGTCCATGGTATGCACAATAGCCTTCTCCAGCACCATAATTCATTCTTCCTTTTTCAATATCCACTTTTCACATTCATAATAGGTGAATGAAAATGGCATGCCTTGGGCTGTTCTTGTTTTAAAAACTCACGGTTATCGAGTCAGCGCTGACTCATAGTGGTCCTATAGACACTGCCCTGTGGGTTTCCGAGATCGTAACTCCTGTTGGAGCAGAAAGCCCATCCTTCTCCTGCAGAGTGGCTAGTGGTTTTGAAGTTGGTTGTGGTTCACAGTAACGCTATGTCCAGCAGAACAAAACAGTGCACAGTCCTGCACCATCCAATTGTTGCTTTGTAGGAACCTATTGTTTCAGCCACATCGTCAATCCATTCCATTGAGGGCCTTCCTCTTTTTCACTGACTTTTACTGTAAAATGAGAGCATCCTTCTACAGGAACTGTGTGGTCCCTATTGATAACACACACAAAGTACATGGGACAAAATTTCACCATCCTCACGTCCAGAGAGAATTATGGCTGTACTTCTTCCAAGACTTATGTATTCATTCTCCTGGTATTCTATGGTATGTTCAATATTCCTTGCTACTAAAATAGTTCAAAGGTATTGATTCTTTGATCTTTATTCATTGTTCAAATTTCTCACACATCTGAAATTCTGCATACAATGGAAAAAATCATGGTTTACTTTAATCCTTAGAGTAACATCTTTGCTTTCTAATGCCTTATAGAGTTCTGAAGCACATTTACCCTGTGCAATATGCCACTTGATTTCTTGGATGCTGGTTTCATCAGCATTGATTGTGGATCTACATAAAATGAAATTTTTGACAACTTTGATCTTTTCTCCATTTATCATGATATTTTATTGATTCTTTGCTAGGGTTTGTGTTTTCTTTTTATTAAGTTATAATCCATTATGAAGGCTATAGTCTAGGATATTCATCAGTGAGTGCTTTAAGGCCTCTTCACTTTCAGCAAACAATGAATACATGTCAGAATAAATATCAATATAAAAATGAATATGGTAGGGAGGGGACGGGAGGACTGGTAGGGAGTGACCACGGTCAAGGCAACCATGAGGAACTACTGAAGCCAGAATGGACTGATCATGGTATTGGGACAGGAGGAAAGCGTAAAGAAATA